GGGAGGGTGGGGGGAAAGTGCACTCAGGAATCTAAAATCGGCCCCAAACAAACACAAACAGAAAAATCAGTTCGTGGTGAGGCTTCAAGCTGAAATCCTGTAAACACCCCGCCAAGAAAAGGCAGTTAAAGAACAGAAACGAAAGCCCAAGCTGTTCATGATTGTACTATCTAGATATGAAGACCTTCTTGATTTTATGTTTTAATAAAAGTAGTAATAATAGCGCTAACAAACCCAGAAACCCTTTCTGCTGGTATTTAAGAAAGTGCTGAATGCGGGCAGGCATCTACTCTCCATTCTCTAGTGCTGCCCGGGCCCAGAGGCCCGAGGGGCGGCATCCACGGCCCACCTGGAGCCACAGCCTCCTGGCGACAGCAAGTGTGCCGAGCGGGGCTGCCCTCTGAGGGCTTGAGAGGCTATGACTTACTGGAGGCAGACCAGCAGACCTACTTCCCAGGCACCTCTGGCTGGGTTTGAGGCCCCAACCTTGACAGTTGAGTGTTGTAAGCATTTGTGCCCCCAGGGGTTCTCCCCAGGGAGGCAGGAGGGCCTTCTGGGGTGGGGTGGGGGCAGGCAACGGAGACAGCGACCCACCTCCTGGCAGTTCAGAAACCCAGGTGCCTGGCCTCCGCCGGGGAGAGAGGCAGAGGCCTATTAGATTTGATCTGGAAGCTCTGCCAGCCACCCGCCCCCTCCAGGTGGGGAGAGAGGCCCGGATGCCAGACCTACCCCTGGAGCAAGCTCTGCATTTCAAACTACCCTTCAAAGGGAATTCTACCTAAAATCCAGAAGATCGAGTGGCACTCATGCTAACCTCCAAAAACAAAAAACCAAAAAAACCTATGAAAAACCAAAAGGGGGAAAAGCAGAAAGCAGGTGTGGCTGGCCCTCCCTCCTGGCAAAGGAAGTGGCTCTCACTGACAAGAGTAACAAAACCCCCAGGTGTACAGGTGGGATTTGGTACCGCCAGGGGCGGGACCTCCTCACAGGGACCCCCTGGAGACGCAGTAGTAGGACTTTGGCACTATGAACAGTCCCTGCCCACTTGGGGGGAGGCCCGTGAGGGGTGGCGGGCTTCCTAACCCTCCAGGCACACGCTGGTCAGGATGCCCCCGGCAGCCAGGAGAGAGAGACGTTCTCGGCTTCCTTCCCGGACAGTGTCTTCCCCCAGCACAGCAGTTCTGACAGGCGACCCTGGAAGGAGAACACAGACAGAGGTCTGGGAGGTGAGCGGCAGGCCCCAGGGGGCCCCTTTCAAAGCCATCTATCTGGGCCTTGGAGGTGAGACAACCCATCAAGTTTGGGACCAGAACACAGTCTGGCACGAGGTTAAGTACTTCCAGAACCAGCCTTTAGAAACAGGCAAGTTAAGGTGGTTTCCACCCTCCCTGCTGCCTCCCACCCCCCTCCAATTATAATTCACGCCTCTCCAATTTTATTCCTGTGGAGGGAGAAGGTCACGGTGGACCCTAACAGGCACTGAAGCCAGACACACCTTTCCTACTGTGGTAGTGAGACTTTATGTCAACTTGACATGGTTTGAAAGGGTGGGAGTGGAGTCCAACCTGTCAATCAGGTCACAGCCTGATGAGGCCTCCTGGAAGGTGCGGCCTGTTTATAAGAGAGGCACTGGGGACCCCTCCCCTCACTCGGTGCCCCTTCCCCTTCCTGCTGGCTGGGTGGGGCTCTTGTGCCTGCCCCATGCTGCCGAGAGCTGTCAGCTCCCTGCCCAGTTCCCACTGACCCTGGATCCAAGCAACATTGCACCCACCGGCCTGTGGTCTTCCTGCATACCGCTTCACCTTCCTGCACCATCGGCCATCGGCTACGTGAGGCGGAAGAGGGCTCTGGCTAGAGGGGCACTGGGCCGGGATGCTTTCTCAATGTCAAATGACTTCTTGATTGCTATTTCCTTCTTATACGTACGTGAGTGCCACAGGCTTTGTTTCTGTAGACAGCGCGGCCTAACACCCCTAACTTACTCGCAGCGGGGCCGTCAAGAGTTGCTGCTTCTGTACAATGGGCAGAGAAAGGAGCCACCTTGCGCAGAAGCAGGGAAGTCTCCGTGCTAGCATCTGGGACGGTGCCCGGCCCCTGGTCAGGGCCGTGTGGACGTGGCTGCTTCTTGTTCGAAGGAGCCTTCTCCAAGCACACTAGGCTACATGTAAATAGTGGTAACATGAATAATGCAGGTCTGGTGAATTTTAATTTACAACTCAAATCACCTCCAGCCCGAGAGGAGTAGACACGATGATCATTCCCGTTTTACTGGTGAGGAAATGGGAGGCACAGAGAAGCTGAACCACTTTCCCAAGAACACACAGCTGTAGCGGGGGCAGAGGTAGGAATGGAACCCAGCCACGACTCCAGAAGCAATGCTCGCTCTTAATACACAGAAAGCATTTAGACTTGGAGTTGGTTTGGAGAAACGTCTAACTGATGTACTTTATTATTTATTCATTTTCTTTTTTCCCTCCTCGTTGGCAACTGGTATTCCACTGGCTGCCTTGAGGATCAGTATAGAGAAACCACCAACAGTTTGTACACAAATTGTCCTTCCTTTTTGCTCAGGGTCACACTGGCTGTACCTCCGATGCCTGGGGTTGCTGGAAGGGGATGCAAGGCGGGGGGATGGGGGGGG